TTCATCTTTGTATTGTCTAGTGTGCTTGAAGAAATTACATGATAGTTGCTATATAAAAGCTAGTCACTTAAAAAAAAAAAAAAAAGCTAGTCACTTAATTCTAAAAGATGACATATAATACATATATATCTTGTTTAGATAAATCTCTCCCAGAAAAGGGAGAAAGAATATAGATGTCCTGTTAGACCTTTTTGTCCTTAAAGAATTAGGGTTTTATATATTTTTACTTCTGATTTTCATGAGGTTATTGCCTATTTTCTTGACTAACAACCACATCAAGTCTATACTTTTCTTGGACATATTTTCCAGAAGATTGATGACTCAATCTTGGGCAAGATTGCCAAAGCATCAATATACCATAAAATTATCCACTTCCCCAATTTAAACAATGAAATAGATTAAAGCAGCTTGAGAACAGCAATGAAAATATTATGCCATTGGAATGCAAATGCAGACAGCCAACATAATTATGTTTAAGCAATATAAAGAAATCTTTTCCCTTAAGGGAAGATCTATTCCTGCCCAGAAATAAGTTGTGTCCTCTAGTCCAAAGTGTGCTAATATGGTATCTCTGGAACATGGCTGTATTGTCTTTAGTTGGGTTTATTTGGCTAAAAAGGAAAGACTTTGAGTCTCTTTTTCACTTTAAGATTAGGTGATATTAAATATTTTGTTTTATTGTTCTTTTAGTTCAACAATTAGCTTTGACCAGGTTTCTCTGGGAACTAGCTTAATTCTCTAGTCAAAAACCAACACATCAAACACATGTAGTCATGAAACTAATAGACATAAAGAGTCACTTCTTTTACTTAATTAACTGAACCAAGTCAACTATTTACTAATAAGTAATCAAGAATAAAATTTGAAAATAATTCTAAAGATTTTAGTGGAAATCTGTTTTATTATCAAGACAAAACCCTTGCATGATTCAGCCTCTGTCCATTGCTTTGCTTAGGTCAGCAATTAAAGTTTAAGTTTGTATTGCAAATAAAACTGAACCTTTCTGGATGACTAGCTCAGAATATTCAGAAAAAGAAATCTTCCCTACCTTAGAGAAATTATTTGATGACTACTGCAGACATCTTGAGTGAGGGAAAAAATAACACTAAGAAATAGCTAAGGTAAATATGTGTAACTATATGAACATATATTACTTATCTATCCATATGTCATATCTATAGAGCTCCAAAAAGGAGGAACATTAAATCCTATTCAAGAAAAAACAAAACAATAATTTAACAATTTCAATGATTTTGCATACTGCTTATGAAACTTGTAAAAGGTATTTTTTAATATAAAAAGAATGGTTGAAAATTAGAATACTCTATAGAGTTTTCTGGTTAACTGTGAGAAATTACACATTTGTGAATTATTATAGTTTTGAAATTATAAACTAAAAAGCACTCATACAGGGCCACCTGGATGGCTCAGTTGGTTGAGTGTCTGACTTTGACTCAGGTCATGATCTTATGGTTCATGGGTTTGAGCCCTACACTGGGCTCTGTGCTGACAGCTCAGAGCCTGGAGCCTGCTTCAGATTCTATCTTCATCTCTCTCTCTCTCTCTCAAAAATAAATAGACTTAAAAAAATTTTTTTAAATAAAAAGCACTCATACCAAAGTAATATACAATGAGGTAATATTAACCTTAGCCTAAACTGAATTAACTTTAATCAAAGTCTCACTTTGTTGCAAGTTATCATTATAAATTCTGTATATATGCTGTACATATACATGTTATCATGTATAAACTTTGTATATATGCTGATGTAGACCAAGGAAGAGATTAACCTACATCATATATTATGACATATACTATAAGTTTGTCCTTTCTTAAAATCTCTTCTAAATCTTTCACCTTTCCAGATGTTAACATTTAAAATGATAAGACTTGGGGAGCCTGGATGGCTCAGTCGGTTAAGCAACCAACTTCGGCTCAGGTCATGATCTCACGGTTCATGGGTTCGAGCCCCGCATCTGGCTCTGTGCTTACAGCTAGCTCAGAGCCTGGAGCCTGTTTCGGGTTCTGTGTCTCCCTCTCTCTCTGACCCTCCTCTGCTCAAGCTGTCTCTCTCTCTCTCTCAGAAATAAATAAAACATTAAAAAAAATAAAATGATAAGACGATATTAGGTTTATTGCAAATAATATGCTAAAATATGGAACAAATGTTGATGAATGGTGTGTTCTCTTAAGCATCACAGTATGTATCTATTTCACCTACAGATGTACTTTCTTTGAAATGACCATGTTAGGCATTTTAAAGATGCATTTTAAAAAATAGTAAGTTCACTTTGAGATAAAGTTCTTGCATAAGATAGCTACTTTTATAAATTATGTATGGACATGGACTTATGAAGAAATAATCAACACTTAAAGAAAATTCAATTAAAAAACAAATTCAGGTTTTTCTAATAATCTACTAACAGTGAATCAACTTGATAAATTCTGCATGAGTTGTCAAAGCTGCCTGAACTGCCCTCCATGTCTTTGGCCTGTGCTGACTATATAGGGTAAGAAAGAAGTGGGTCACATTTCCCTCCCTTGGAAACTTTGCATTCAAGGTATGACAGTAAAAATAACATGCATCAAACATTTGGAGAATAATAAAAGAGAGAACATAAATATATGCAGGAGAATATTGAATAGGGAAAATGTACTAATCAAGAGATTTTTTTTTCCTGTTTCAGGCTGAAACCATGTCATTGCCAATGTAAAATGGAAAACTGGCAATATAAGCATCCATTTACATGAGAAATTACCCAAGTGCCCCCACACATACTGCCTTTCATGCACAATACAAAGTGGTTCCATTTTCAGTAGAACATATGCTAAATGTTTAAGCTCAAAGATGATTTAGACAAAATGGAAAAGATTTTTTAAACATTTATTTTACACTTTACAGGATTCATTTAGATTGGCAGATGTTCCAAAACCCAAAGAAAAGTAACTTAACCAGCTAGTGGAAAAGACAGTGTTTGCAGAGAAGACAAGGGGAAGGGAGAGAAAAAAATCCCTAACCTTGTAACATTCAGTGTGAGAAAATGAATGGACATGAATGAATACATACATACATACATACATACATACATATGTACATACATACATATTCCAGGGGAAATCTAATAGTTAAAATACTGAAGGACTTCCAAATTCTTCCAGGTACCTGCAGCAAATGATGTATTGATTTTGCTGTTAAACTGCACAGCTGTAACCAACACATTAGACACAGAGGATAAAAGCAATGACTAAAAGCACCTTATTTCATCTGTCACACCTGAGGCACTGCCTTCTTCAGACCTTTAGTGTATTAGCACAGAAAATCAATTAGGTAAAGAGCTAAACAAATGAAGGGAGAATAAAAAAAGCCTCATTCACAAAGTATCAGAGTTGTCAACAAGCCCAGGAGACTTTGGTAAACTATATGATATCGCCAAATAAACCATAACAACTTTTTCTGAACTTTTAAAAGTCAGTGATTATGTATCACAGATTCCTCTTAAGCCTATTTTGGAAGGTCCTCAGCCATTAAACAACACCTGATAAATACAGCAAAGTATTTTGTTTCAGTTTCAAGTTTAGTACGTATCTATCTTCTAAATCATTAAATATTCTGTGTCCCTCCACCACCAAAAAAACCCCCACCCTATTAGATTCTTAAAATGATTATATACATGTATCTTCAGATAAAGATCATTGTTACTTAGCATTTGCATGGCCTTGCCTGTGGCCTCTGAATTTGCAGTGTCACCTATTAATTTTTCCTCAGCCATAAAAATAATCAATTTTCATTACAAGCAGTCATATGGCTCCTCTGTAAGTAGGCAAAGCACTGAGCACAGGATCAACCCCAGGGATTTTAAGTACTCTGATATTAATTTTCCTTTAACGAACTCATTTTTTTCTACAAAGAAAATCAAGCTGCTTCTTGAAAGAGATCTCATAAAGTATCAGAGGAAATGTGTGGAAGCCACATTTGATCACTGATATAAAGTTTTATGACCACTACTTACCCCTTTGTGTGCAACTGCCCCAAATTATAAAAGTATCTTTTCTTTATATCTCCAATTCTTGTACTACTTATATCTACCACGTCACTAAGGTTTTGGTCATTGCCTCTTCATGTCATTTCCCTGAAGCTATTAATCTAGACTCATTCTTCTCCTTCCTTGCTTATTTGTCTTTTTCAAATAAACACTTTACAATTCAAAATACAGAACTCCAAAAGCTCCAGCTCTACCCTGACCCAAATCTCATAACCTCTTGCATTTGCTTGTGCTCTCTGCCTTCTCATATTAACCACTGGTGTTCATAGATCAGGACCTTTCCCATGAAACCTAATTTTTCCACTTTCCTGTCTACTGATTTGCTTCTCATTCCCCAGGCTCAATATCATCCACTAACTCTTTACATTCTGCTGCTTCAACTGAAATTCAAACATACAGATATCCCTTGAATACGTGCTGCATTTTAGCGACTGGGTTCCTACTTCTATATGTATAAAAGCATACATAATTTAGTCGTTTGAATTTTAAATTATCTGGCCACCTAGGCTTCGTTTTTAAAGATGAAAAAACAAGTTTAGGGAAGGTAAGAAATTTTCCAAATCTAGTTACTCCATCTAGTTATACCAACACCCATTAAACATTTGCTCTTTGGTTCTTCTCTCTAGGAAATACCTCTAGCATTCTTTCTTTGTATATAATAATTCATCAGATCAGCTCTTTGCCATCTTGGCTGGTTTGGGGTTTTTTGTGTGGTTTTTGAGTGAGAATTCTAGGGTTTTAATCACAAATGCAGCAGACCGCTAAGGAGCCCCTGCTCCAATCTTTCTTCTCCCTCCTCTTCCTCTCAACACATGCTTCCAGGGCAGATCACTAGGCCACTAAGGTCGAGGAATCTGAGGAGACTGAAAAGGGACAATGTTTTCTTCAAAGTTCTCTGAAACATCCAGAGTCCTTCTGGCTTCGGCTGAGAATCTTCTCGTGGAAGCAGGGAGAGATTTAGCAGTTAGCTTCAAGGTCTTCCCTCTCTATATCCTGCGGTGCTTTTGTCTTCTTTTGCCTTTTGGGATGTGGTCCACCAGTCCTGGCTGACTTTCCACTTCCATGGCTGCTCTCTCTTTCTGGGCATGCCGAATCTGCTGGAGGAGTTTTCTGCACTTCTACACAGACAGAGTAGTGTTTGCATCTGCATTAGATGCCCACTTATTGAGCTAGTGATGCGTGATCAGCCCTCAGTCTATCACAGCCCCCATCATCTGGAACTTCAGTCGTCTCTCTAGTTTCAACATAGCCATAGCTTGAACAGCTTCTTCTTAGGTTCTGTTGTGGGTGGTTGATCTTTCCCCAGGGAGCCCCCAGGGCTGCGGTGCCATCTTGGATTGTTTTAAAGCCTCAGAAGAAGAAATAAAGGTTCATCTCCAATATGTCTGAAGTATACTCTGGTTTCTCTTCAGATCGTATAAATCTTTTGCCTTTTACCAATATGTCTGAAGTGCCATCAAGAAGAACTCATAAATGGTAGAAATGTTCTAGATGTGAGAGAGTGGTCATGCCTGTTGGAGATTAGTTTAATTAAAGAGTGTGTATGTATACATATACATATATTCATCCATATATATCTACATCTCTCTCTCCAGATCTCTCTCTCTCTTTCTCTCTCTCTCTAGAGAATGAAAAATAATATAAACATGAAATTAGAGAAGAAAGCAACAGGACAGACCTACCTAATGTTTGTAATGTAACTTAAATGTAAGCTTAAATTGTTCAGGAAATAAACACAAAAGAAGGTGGGTATCAACAGGAATATGCTTCAAAAGCAAGCCTTACCCACTTCACAATTTCTATAAGATACAATGCTATTTTATAGAAATATTTTACATATGAAAATGCTCTTTCAACACAGAAAAACCCAAAATCAGAACTCAATCTTTTTTTTCCAATAAATATAATGCAAATTAGAGTATATTGTATAAACTAAAAATTTCTAAGGGCAAAATAAATATTGGGGAATATCTACTTTCTGATATGTTGTTGAGGAAATTCTGAGAGTTCTTTTGCTAAAAAGTTAAACTTTTGAGATGTGACATGTGAACATTTTGCTTGGTGGGCACCTAATAACTATTTAGTGATGAAACAAGATGGCAATATTTACAATTTATGCAAGAGTTCATAGCTGCATATAGAAAACAAAAGTACCTATACTTTTGCTACTAATTGCTTGATTCAAAATATGCCATGTACTTAATAATTTACAGTATATAGCCAGAGCTCTTAAAAAATCTACAGTTGATCATGTATATTGTAAGCTATCACATTAGACTATGAGGGTGTTTTCTTTGTTAATGTTGGTGCGTGCATACTTCTGAACCTGGACTCCTCAAAGTTTAAAGATCTCTGCATATTTTGTACCCAACAAAATACACTGTACTTTTGTACAATTTCTCATGACAACACCACTTAATATCACACATAGTTGAGTATATCAGAAATGCATGTCTCAGTGGCATAATTTTAGCACTTGCTCAGAGAAGAAAGATCCATTTCAGTTTCAGATTTTACGTGTCTTCCAACTGCTAAGTACAAATAAAGATCTCTTTTGAACTCCTGAAAATAAACAATTCTGTTGAAATTGGTATCCCCTGATCACATGGACATCTTATAATTTGATAAGGCAATTTAGAATAGCTCTAGAGGTCCCAGATGTTTAAAAGTCCAGCTTTTACCAAGATGACTTGGATGTTACAGCTAAGCACATTATAGGCAGAATAAGTACAGAATGTCTTTCTAAGTACTTCAGATATTAAGTAAGAGGTCTGCTTGATGCCTAAAAGTCTCTTCATCAATATCAATTCTTTTCCATAAGTTAATGTCATAAGTTAATGTCTCCAAAATGGCTCTTTTGAAATGCAACTCTATTAGCTGAGAAGGTAGTACGTTGTTCCATTAGCCTGTGAGGAGGAATTACTTAGCAAGGTCCTCAGGGAATGAATACCAACAAATAAATTTTGATAAAGGAGGGAAATGAATATCAGAAAAAAAATCTGAACATGGATCTTTGCTCAACCAAATAGGCCCAGGTAGGTCATTCCAAAAACCAGCAGAAGGGCTGGTTTTTGAAGAAGCCGAACTAAAGATGAGGTTATGCCAAAGCAAAAATTTCAGAGTTTTATAGGGTTCTCTAAGGTTTCTAGGAACATTCTTTATGGTTCCAGAGTATGTGGATTCAAACTCCTCTGCCTCCACTTCTTCTGTAAAATAGGGATAATGATAAAAGCTGCATCATCATAGATAATTCATCGAGATGACATCTGTAAAGCATTTAGAACTTTACAATAATATTAACATTTTAAAAATGTAGAGATGCATTAATATTGCAACACAGCATCCTGGCACCTTCCCCATTTTACGTTTTAAAAACTATTACTTTTATGAATTATTCATATTCCAAAAAGCCAATATTCTAAAAAAAGAAAAATAGAATTATTTGGAGTAGTGTTTTATTTTCTGCAGCATTATTATCAAGAGTTCTTGACTTTTGTTTTTTCTTTAACCTAGTGAAATGTCTGAAGCCTTCCTTTTCATGTTAGAGGATCAATTTCAAGCCAGTTGTAAGCAGCTGTCCTCAATTTTCATTCCTAGCAAATGAACATATTTTTAAATGATTTTACAGAGTATTTTTCACACTCCTTCTAGATGATAGATACATTCTTCAGGCACTTCTCATTGCCAGGAAATGGAAGGTCTTGTTGCCGTTCCAATAAAGTGAGCATACACAAGAGTCTCCAGGAGACTGGTAATCTCAGACACAATTTCATTTGTCAGCTCCCTATAGTCTACAAGCTTGTCTTAGAGGAGACTTCACCTGCATGAGGATTTCAGGATTCGGTTTTTCTATGTAATTTCACTTTCTAGTAATGGGATTCTGTGAGCACTTTCTCAATTATTTCTGCTTCCTAAGGTCAGGCTACAGAGGTAAATGTAGGGATTTATGCACTTAATTCCCCGTGGGTCAAGATGAAAATACTCACTTTCATTCTTACTTTTTATTTATTCAACTTTCATGCAGCTCATGTTTCCTCCAATTTGTGGGCTCACATGATAGCTTAGTTTTTTTCGGTCTCTCCTTCCTTCTCTCTCTTTCCTCCCTGTCATTCTCCTCCCTTCCTTCCCAGCAGCGGAAGAAGCATATTAGTGTTTCAGTTCTTCCCCTTTTGAGAAAAAGTCCTGCCTGTTTGTGACCTTTAATGTGTGTGCATACACAGAGAATCATACAGAAATAAATTAATACAAAACTAAATTCTCAACTAACTATAATATAATTAGTTGAATGTGAACCAAGTCCTCCTTTTCCATCAACCTCAAAAATCTCACTGTAAGTGCTAATAACCCTCTTATGAGCATAATGTCACATGTGTTTGATCTCTAGTACTTTTGTCATCCAAATTTGACCATAGTTACTAGCCACTGTGATATTTCCTTCTTTGAATCTAATCTTTCTGCCACCTTTCTCATGCTTTTATAATAACAGAACAGTTTCTGAATTCTAAGGTCTTTAGCTCCTTTCTTTCCTATTTTCTCACCACCAACAAAAAAGGGGAATGTCTTTTTGAATTGAATGGATCTGTCATTTAGGGCTCAGGCACCTTTGAGTTGTGTTGCTTTGGGTTACTATTTAACTAATATGAAACTTATTTTCTCAGTGGAGGAAAAAAATGATTCTATTACACATAACTACCAATTCTGTCAAAAACTCTAAAGATAATATCTATAAAACAACATAGTGCCTGGAATCCAATCATCATCATAAATATGAAAATAATCAACAATGCCTTTATCTGCAGCAATATCATCTTTTTTTTATTTTATTTTATTTTTTAATTTCTGAGAGAGAGGTGTCATCAGGTGAGGGTCAGAGAGAGAGGCAGATGCAGAATCCAAAGCAGGCTACAGGTTCTGAGCTGTCAGCACAGGGCTCGATGTGGGGCTTGAACCTATTAACCATGAGATCGTGACCTGAGCTGAAGTCAGATGTTTAACCGACTGAGCCACCCAGGTGCCCCAGTAAGTATCATCTTTATCTCTGACTAGTCTGTAATCACCTATCAGCTGTATTTTTCATCACAATAACTTTTAAAGGTACATTTATTGAAGTATAACTTATATGTAGTAAACTTTAACCTGTTTAAGTGTTCAGTACTGTGAATTTTGTCAAATGCTTAGTCATATATTCACCACGACAGTCAAGATATAGAACAGTTTCATTGACCTGAAAAATTTTGTAGTTAATCTCCTACCCTGAACTCCAGCCAGGAACATTCACTGATATTTTTCTTTCTGAACTTTTGATTTTTTTTTTTGGTATTATGTTATATAGATGGAATTGAACAATATGTAGCCTTTTGAATTTGACTTCTTTTAGTTAGCATAACATATTTGAAATTTGTTCATTTTGTAACACGTATTTGAGGTCCATGCACATTCCATTTATTACTGAGTAGTATTCCAAGGTATGAATGTCTCCACGGATTTTCAAATCTTTTCTCCAGTAATGGTTATTTGAAGTGTTTAGGGGTGTTGATGATTATGACTAAGTTAACTGTGATTACTCACATACAGTTTTTGTATGGATAAGTTTTCATTTTCCTTGGATAAATGTCTAAGGAAAGTATTGCTGGATCATATGATAAGTATATGTTTATTTTTGTATTATTGTTAAATGCTTTTGCAAATTAATTGTAACATTTTTCATTTCCACCAGGGATGTATGAGAATTCTTAGGGCTGCACATTCTTTCAAGTATAATATTTTCAGTTTGTTTTCCTTGTTGTTGCTTCAATTTACCCATTCTGATAGCTGTGCAATTTTATTACATTATCGAAAAATATATAACAATGTTGAGCATAATTTCATTTGTTTATGTGCTATTTGTAATCTATGGTAATATGTAGGCTTAAATATGCTGCCTATTTTTTAAATTGTGTTGTTTGTTTCCTCATTATTTGATTTTGACAGTTCTATATTTTAGATTACAGTTCTTTATTATGTGTGTGTGTTACAAATATTTCTTCCAGTGTGTATCTTATCTTTTCATTTTCTTTACAGTAGCTTGTAAAGAGCTAATGTTTTTAATTTTGATAAAGTCCTTTTTTTCCAAATGTATTCTGTGATTCATGCTTTATCCTCTCTACAGAATTTTTGCTTAACACAATCTAACAATGTTTTTGCATGTTTTCTTTTAAAAGTTTTATCATTTTAGGTTACACATTAGGTCTATTTTGAATGAATTTTTATACATAAAATTGAAAGCTACAGATTGAGATGATCACTCCCTTTCTTTCTTGGATATGGATGGATGTCAAGTTGTTCAGCACCGTTTGTTATATATTCTATC